AACGATAAACTGCAGAAAGCCGGTATTCTTGGATTCTCCCGCACGATAGCGCTCGAAGGTGCTAAATATAACATCTACTGCAACACCATCGCCCCCAATGCCGGCACGGCCATGACCGCTACCATCTTACCAGAAGAGCTAGTACAAGCCTTCAAGCCCGACTACATTGCTCCTCTCGTCCTCGCTCTCTGCAGCGACAAGGTGCCCAAGAACCCTACGGGCTACCTATACGAAGTTGGCAGCGGCTGGTGCGGCCGGACAAGATGGCAGCGGACGGGAGGTATCGGCTTCCCCGTAGATGTCAAGCTGGTTCCAGAAGAGGTCGCCAAGAACTGGGCCAAGGTCGTCAACTTTAACGACGGCCGAGCGGACCATCCCGAGAAGGCCCAAGATTCGGTCGGGAAAGTGATGGCCAATATGGAGAATAAGCGAGGGGCATCCAAGGTATGATGAGCTTACCCTTTTCCTTCCTTGATGCCCCCCATGTTCGGGCTATCTTGTATATATACAATGTTCTATCTAGTCTAGCATATGAATGAAATATCGGCGTTAACATATCACTTTTGCCATAGAAGAGCACCGAGAGCAACCAGTATCTCGAGGCCCAGAAGAAAGCTATAGCCGCCAAATCCCCGGCGACGGAATTCACCTACACGGATCGCGACAGCATGCTGTACAACCTAGGCATCGGCGCCAAGAGGACGGAGCTGTCGTACGTGTTCGAGGGCGCCGAGGACTTCCAGGTGCTGCCGACGTTCGGGGTGATCCCGCAGTTCGACGCCAACATGCCCTTCAGCTTCGACGAGGTGGTGCCCAACTTCTCGCCCATGATGCTGCTGCACGGCGAGCAGTACCTCGAGGTCAAAAAGTACCCGATCCCGACGGCGGCCAAGACCAAGAACTACGCCAAGCTGCTCGAGGTGGTGGACAAGGGCAACGCGGCCGTGCTCAAGAGCGGCGTCACCACAGTCAACGCCGAGACGGGCGAGGAGCTCTTCTACAACGAGGCCACCGTCTTCCTCCGCGGCTGCGGCGGCTTCGGCGGCCAGAAGAAACCCGCCGACCGCGGCGCCGCTACCGCTGCCAACAAGCCGCCTGCTAGGCACCCCGATGTTGTTGTCGAGAGCCCGACGACCGAGGAGCAGGCTGCTATCTACCGGCTCAGCGGTGACTACAAGTGAGTTTATCACTCCCCTTTTCCTCTTACACAAGCAGAAAGAAGAAGAAGAAGAAGAAGAAGAAAAAGGCCATCCTGAAGCTGACAGAGTCCAGCCCCCTCCACATCGACCCGGCCTTCGCCAAGATGGGCGGGTTCAAGGTGCCGATCCTGCACGGCCTGTGCTTCATGGGGGTGGCGGGCAAGGCGGTGTACGAGAAGTTCGGGCCCTTCCGGAACATCAAGGTGCGCTTCGCCGGCACCGTGCTCCCGGGCCAGACCCTCGTCACCGAGATGTGGAAGGAGGGCCCCGCCAGGGTCGTCTTCCAGGCCAAGGTCAAGGAGACCGGGAAGCTCGCCATCTCGGGCGCCGCGGCGGAGCTCGTCGCTGGTGGGAGGGAGGGTGGGAAGCTGTAGTTGTTGATGGGGAAAACATGGGGGTAGGGAGAAGAGGAGGGGTTACGCGCTGGATATGACATGCTAGGTACGATCGATCGGTATTTGCATGGTTGAAAACGTGTCCGGATTTGCCGGGGCAAGGGATTTTATTAAAAATTTCTAGGGGCTATGTAGTTTGCAATAGGACGTTTTCACTATTTTGGTATACTAAGCAGTGGTAAGATAGGGTGCGCGTGAATACAAATGGACAATACAGTTTTGACCCCTTTTTCTCGTAATCAACCACGTTTTTATTAAGAGACTTTGAATTCGTATCAGACGTATAAACTGATGGAGAGCTCTAAATTTTCATACGTGATGGTAACTAGAATTAACTTAAGGAATGGATTTTCAAGATAGATCAACTCTGTAGGTCGTGATAGGACTGTTTTACGAATCGGTATCGTTTTTCTTATAAGGAGAATATCATTTCCCATCCCTACCTCACATTGCTATGCTACTTACTGGCTGTGAGGTTAGAGGACATGTGAAGACTCCGACTAAGAATATTCAATGTGTCGTCTGTCTCCTTAAGATTTAACTGAAAAGTCGAGTCACTCGTATAGAAGAACTAGAGTAAAAACCGAACTTTTTAGCCTTGTAAGGCTTGCCCAACCAGTGATGATGTATTAGTGAACGTATCCGATACTCTATATTACTCTGAGGCGATAGCCTGCCGATAACTTGTTGCATGTACAATGCTGATGGGTATAACGCATGCGATCCTAATCCTGCCCCTGTAGTATACAACACCTTCGTATTTTTGGAAACGCCGAATCCCAATGCGATGCTCTCGTCTTCGAAAAGTTGGATTCCATAAAATAAAATAAAATAAAAAAACGTCTGACTGGTGGTTAACCAAGTATGCTTCCTTTTGCAAAACCCTTAGAAACCCTATAAAACTCCATGCCTGTTTCCCTCTCTAAACCCGTCACACGAATAATGTCTCTATAATAAAGTCGCAAAACTCCTCGATGCTGGGCATTTTCCCACCCGGAAGCAAGTGTCCCATGCCACCATGTCCGTGATTGAAGCCGCCTCTACCGTCTTCGAGATACGCCTTCTCCGCGTCGGACAGCTCCCTCTTTTCGCATTCTCTCCACCTTCGTTCGGCCTCCGCCTTAGCCTTTCGGAGTATTTCGTCCGTGTTCTCGGCCTCCCATAGATTGCATTTATTGCATTCTTTGCATCGTCGTCCGTCGCCCTCGGGTCGGAAGTGCTGACAGAAATGCTGGTATCCTTCGTTCGGTGTACCGATGTCCTTGCGGCAGACGTAGCACATCTTATAGCCGCAGGGACAGGTCAACTTGTTGCACCCGGCCGTCTTCACAAAGGACGTACTGCAGCGAGGGCAGACGCGTTTGACCGCCATCGACATGGCTTGCTCTACCTGCGTGCGCAGAGCCACGAGAGACGACTCGTGGCAAACGTGGATGTCTACCCAGGCTTTCGAACACGATAGGCAAGACGAGCGCGCGCAGGACGGGTTCTGACATGTAAATTTCAATCCACGACGGCGACGCTGATATCGGTCAAGCGCGGCGGAAAGATGTCGGGATCCGTACTCCCTAAAGGACCGATTCAGGCAGAGGAGGGTGCAGCCTAGCGATAACATCAGAGTAGGAAGGGAAAATGGTGGCAACATAAAGCAGATGAAAGTAATGATAATCGTGGGGAAGTTGCTGGTGCGGAGCTTGGGCCGGCGCGCATGTGCGGGCATATATAGATCGTCGATCTCGGCGTAGGTGCAGAACGGGCACCGGATGAGAGGCAATCCGCTAGATAAAAGGCCGTGCTCCGCCAGTCGTTGATCAAGCTTCCGTATGATCTCGTCCCCATTCTTCGCGCTCCGCATAGCTCGGTGGATATGCTCGGAGGACACACAGCCTTGGCACTCTACCGATGCGACAGCAGGGCACCGAAGGCCGCCGGTTTCTTTGTCGATACAACGTTGCCAGCCCTGTCCGAAAACCGCTTCGGTGATGGAATGCTGAACACAGTGGAAACAGACCATATGGCCTTCCGTTCCGCAGACGGTGAGTTCCTCGAAAATAGCATCCCCATAGCAGCAACTACACTCATACGTTGCTTCGACGGCTTCGGCCTCCTCAGTAAGCAGGGAAACGGCTAAGGCGCGATCGCTCTCTTCCCTCTTAATTCGTTCACGTCGCTTTAGTGGCATAATCAGCTCTTCAAACAGTTCTCTGTCCAACTCGGAGCTGCCGGTGGCCTTCAAAGTCGGTATCATGGGCCCATTGTCGGAGGGAGTCCATATAATAAGCGGGTGGGTCTCTGCCTCAGCAGACGTGACCGTCTTACGACGGAAGAATAAAGAAGAGATGGCAAACTTCCAGGACCTGGACGACAGCTCTACGAGGGTCGGTCGGGCGTCGAGATAGGAGTAGTTGGATTCGGATAAAACGGCGTCGATGGATGACCTGGATATGCCTTTGAATTCTTGCATTGCCAGAGCTCGTACCGCATCCTTGTATTCCGCCGTTCGGAAGGCTTCGGCTCGCGAGACCATGGTCGTCGAGTCGGGAGCAGTGTGCCCGCCGGCTCTCCGTCGACCCTTTACGAACTCCCCGGGGTTTTTCAACAGCTTGTCGGTGATGATGAACAGCCGCGACTCTTCCGAAAAGGATGCGAGCATCTCCCGGAAGACCTCTATCTGTATGTCGGGGAACAGGCCGGCGAGCATCTCGAGGTTTTGGTTGAGGTCGAGCACATCTTGGGGCGGTTGATTCGCAGGCCGAAGCTGCGACTCGTCGGAAAGGTATTCAGGAGGGTGATCGACGGTTCGCGCTCGAGACGGTTCGGCTTCGGGAGAGTCTCTAGAGGACTTGTTCGATCTGGAGGAAGCATTCCGGCCCGAAGAGGGGCGCAACAGACTGGAGAGAAACATTTCTTTATGTCGAGTCAAATGATCTTGAGGGACAAACCATCGTAGCCGTCGGTGTTGCTTGAGCGGTTTCTCGAACTGGAACGAAATGGACTACGAAGGTCCCTACTAAAATAAGCTATGAGTCGGGAGGTTCGTATTGGCAAGGACTCGCAGCTTTCTTCGTACAAGGACGGCTCTGTACAAGAATACTTTTAAGCAGAGGTAAGAGGGATGGGGGGGATCATGAAGAGGGAGAGCGAATGACGTGAATTAAAGCTGGCGATGGAGTCGCGTTGGAGGCAACTGAGGCAACTGACTTTGTACACTAATACACGAATGATTTCCAACGTTGGGGTAAGTATAGGGGGGTATGTATAAGTACATGCAGGTCCACGGTGTGAGTCTGCACAAGGGTAACTTTCAATTTAGGTGGGTCCAAGCCCCAGACCGGCCTAGGTTGTCCCGATGGCAGAGAGCTAGTACATAAGCGATAATTCCACTCCGTTTTACCACAACAAGACAGGCTCAATGGTCTAGTCGTATGATTCTCGCTTCGGGTCCACCTGAATCCAATCATTCCAAATGATTATGCGAGAGGTCCCGGGTTCAAATCCCGGTTGAGCCCATTCTATCAGGTTTTCTTGATATCTTTTTTGGCTTGACAATATGTTTTCAACGTCGTTTTCGGTACTAGGCCTGGCGAATCGAAAGCCCAAATTTTTTATCTGCTTTTTCAAGCCCGTAATAATCATGCAACAAATTCGATAAAAAATTTGTTGAGCAGTATGATCTTTCGCAGGATCCCCTAATTAGGTGCGACATATCGCCCATACTAACAATTTCATTCTAATAGCGCACAAAAGCCATTTGCCACGGCGCGATTCGTACTCAGCTACGTACGCCTTTACACGCACTATCGAGACTAATGCTAAACCAACACTCTAATCACACCATAACCTGCCCAATTATGTGAGACTGTCATATGTTCGTGAGGCTATCACTCGTGTTCCGACCTGAAGCTTGAAGGCCCAAATCCCTGGTCTCTTCTTGTCTAGGTACCTACTCGGTAAACTCACTGAAGGGGTTCGAGTCCAACATCACCTGTGGTCTAGTGGCAACAATTACATTTCTAGCTAAATGAACACAATCGAAACGCATGTTGCATTGCGATATCGAGTGACTGGTTTCACTTTTTATTCTGGGAATGTTGAAATCATGACAGCAATGTAGAGGTAAACAATTGCGAAAGATAAGGGGCGCGAGCCCGGTATATTATATATTATATTCTAATCGATATTAACCAAATGAGGGCATGAAAATGATTAAGGCGACGAGTTGCACAGTTCTGCAGTAACCACCTTTAGGGTGCATGTAGCTAAGGGGTGAGTTCATACAGAACACTCTGTCCTTCAGCCAGCTGTACACTAAGACCTGAATCCTCAGATCCCATATCCTCACCAGCCCATACATCGCGAACATTAAATGTTCCGCTGATCCCAAGGTCATCCCAGGACACATTCACGGTCTGCATCCCCGGGAGCGACGTCCCATAGCCGCCTTGGCCTTGGTCCGGGCCATAGTTCGTGATAACTACCACTGCGGTCCCCGACGCATCTGGTCCGGCTATCCACGCCTGTAGTTGCTGCGAGCTGTTATTGCCGGTTCCTGGATTGCGAGGCTGCATTGGATGACGGGCGGTAAAGCTAGCGACCGCCATCGCATTGGCATTCGTCAATAGGTTCAGTCCGAAGTTGTTCAGATTTGTGAGATCGGAGCCGAGGATGAGGTTAGCAGCCGCGCCAATCCAATGCGTCATGATCGTCTGCCGCTCGTTGTCCGTCACGCCCGAGACCGAAGCAGGGTTACCTACGAAGAGGTTATCCATGTCAGGGTATATGGTTAGTGTCGTATTGTACTGCATGACGGTGGTGATGTACTGGCGGTAGTTTTCTATGGCTCGCTGGAATGTGTCCCAGGTCACGAAGGTCGACTGGCCCCCATTGTTGATGTCCTGGTCCGTTCTCATCGAGTCGGCGTTCGATTCCCAGATATCGAAGTACTCCTGCGAGCGGTCCAGCTTCCACGAGATGTCCAGTCGCATCTCCCGCCCTGACTGCGCAATGGCTCGGTGGTAAGCGATCACTTCACCACTCGAGTCCGGGGGCAGGTTTGCACCGTTTGACGGGGAACCAGGTGTCACATAGTCTAATTTGATGAAGTCGACGCCCCTATTATTAAAGTCTTAGTTCCAAAACAGGAGGAATTGATTTTTTGTCCCTGAGACTTACCACGAGGCAAATTGGTTGACTACCGAATTATGCCACTCTTGGACGGCAGGTTGAGAGTAGTCGAAATTACAGCGAGCCAGGCCATTGTCGCCGGAGCACACTGAACCAATAGTAACATCTGTCCCAAGAATTGTCTTCGCCTCATCCGCAATGAATGCTCCTGGCACTATGTAGATGCCCAGTAGTAAGCCTTCGCCGTGTAAATGGTCTGCTAGACTTGGAATGTCGAATATGGACGAGTCGTATATAATGCGTCCATACTCGTCCCCGTTACCCCCTACGGACCAGCCAGAGTCGAGACTGCAGTATACGTAACCGGCGCCTTTGAGCGCAGTATTCTGAGCAAGCACGTCGCACTGGCTAGTGACTCCGGTCTGGTTAAAGGAGAAGCCAGGGGTGGTGGCGGGATTTGCTTGTATACCAAAGGAGTTCCACCCCCTAGGTGGAGCTGTGAAGCCGTTAGGGATAGTTCCAATCTGGACAACCTGCAAAGCTGGTTGGGATGTGGCGGGAGAAATTACTATGAATGCGCTAACAGCAACGAGTAAAGAAGACCTCAGAGACCAGGTCATGATGAGTGGAAGAAAATAACGAAGTGCCTAATAAGGATATAACGATTCCAAACAGGTCTCGTGGTGAAAGAAATCGTTATATACCTAAGCTACTTGCTACTATTGAGAAGGCTAATGGCCGTAATCAAGATGGTTACCTGGGGTTCGGCATATTAGGAGGAAACAAACCTCCGTACCTAAGTAACGAACCTTGTAATGTAATGGCGTCAGCCTCTGACACGATTTCTATAACGAGTTCAACGGGCGAGTAAGCTGGGTACCTCGTGTTCAGCTTATTCATACTCCTTGAGGTCGACTCCTATGGCGCCAGCTGGCTATACTGTGTTGTAATATGCTATGTAAAACCTATGGAAAGCCATTAGTTGCTTATACCTCTCCGCTTTCTCAAGTAAGGATTGCTGATAGATAGGTACGCAAATGAACGATACGATTGGTTACCACGAGTGGAGATGTGACAGAACTAAAGGTTGCTGTAAGCCGCCATTCACACCCCCGATACATTCTTATAGGGCAATAAAAAGAAATCATCCCATGAGTTCTTATAAGATAACGTGTTGGGGGGTCGGTTGCGGGAAGATGGAAATGAGCTTCAAGACGTCAGATTAGCAGACCAGAGCCTACAGTAAGGGGCCAATCAATTACACGCAATACATAGCATAGGCCATCTAACGGAGGCAGGGAGGATGGTGCAACACGAGGTTGTGCAATGATAACTCGTCCTTGTTTGCTATCTCGCTCTGATAAATAGACCATTTGCTCTGCTGCTAGACTTATACCTCAGTAGTAGACAGGTATAGATAAAGGAGGTCAAGGTGCCCTCATCAATACTTTCAAGCTTTAGTCGTCGACTGACCTGCAAGTTTTTCAACCTCAACACGTGGTGTCTCGACTTTTCTCTCCTTGATCATGTGTATCTTCGTTTTAACAACGACAGGGACTGGTCTGACACGAGACAGACTCTAGTATTCAACACAGGTTTAGTTCGGAGATAACACTGGAAAAGGGATGAAGTTGGCGCCTCTATCCCATAACGGTACAGCGTGCCTGTAGATGGCCGAATGCATCAAACTTCCAACGCCGTGCTGAAATTAGAGCTTGTGATTGGGCAGTTTGCAAAGCGTTCTAGATGCAATATATCGTTGAAGAACTCAACATCAGGGAGGTTGAAGGTAGTAATGGTAACAGTAGCCTGGGTGGAACGAATACGACAGGTATCGAAACCGGAGTATATAAAGCTGGCATTTCGAAATTTTTAATGGTTGAGCAAGACGGATCACTACCTTAGGTACCTATCTACCTGATACGCAAGCAGATCACAGAATCTCTAGAACACCAAAGTCACCCCTTTTCACAACTTACCATATCTTTTACCTGTCAACATGGGCTTCTTCGTTTCAACCCTTCCCTTCGTTGCCTGCGCTCTCGCAGCAGCAATTGCAGAGCCTGGCCAGGTTGCGGGACACGGTGCTGCTCAGGGGGAGCCAATTTCCCCCGATGCCCAATTCAAGATCAACTACTACACGGATGGTGGCTGCGGCGACTTTCTCATCTCGATCTTCCCATTTCAGGATGGCAGCTGCTACAACTACGCCTACACCGGCGATAACAGTGCCAACATTGCCAACTGCGACGGATCGGAATGCAGATGCACCTTTTATACCGAAACAAACTGCGGTGGTTCCTCGGAGACGGTTGAATACCTGCCTGCTGCCCCCGGCAACTGCGCCTCGAACTGGGGTCATGGTTTTGGCTCGATGAAATGTACACATCAAGGACTCGTAGGGTCGGGTTAAAATGTAAGATTGATTTACATGTTTACGACTGGAAGAGCTACATGAAGGAACAGAACTTGTTTTATGAACACCTACTAAGTAAATTTACTACTTAAGAATTAAACGATGGCTAACACATGTTGTTAGATCTAGCCTCTGTCGACTTTCCTTCTTCATGGCAGCATGGTAGCTAAAGGGTTACCAGTGAGAAGCAATTACGCGTGAGCTTTTGTTAGGGATTTTCAGACATTCTTTATATGATGGTATTATGTCAAAGTCGTAGATAGGGTGTCACTCATTAAGAAGTCCTAGAAGGAGATGGTTCTGAGTGCCTCCTTTTCGGCTACAAAATAAAGCAGGTAGACATACACAAAAATTATTTGCTTTCTGCATCGACCTGAATCACAATCTTCCCCCTTGTGCGTCTCGTATTAAGCTTGTGAAACGCTTCTTTCACTTTGTCGAATTCAAATACACCATCAATAATGATTTTGTCTTGAGGGAGACTTAAAGGCACCTGTACGAAGGAATAGTTGAAATCAAGGTTAATGCAGGTGTACGAGTGGCCGAGACCTGTCCTGCCGACAAGGGCAAGCAAGAGCATTTGAGGATTCCATAAATAAATATATCTACGGCCTGGTGATAGCCTGTCTGTTTCATCACCGACGACAGTCACGTATCTCTTGGCGATCCCAAGACAAGCCGTACCGCCTACAAAATCAATGACTGCCCCTACAAATCTAGCTCGTCCGGAAGCTGACGATTGAATAGTCTACCTCAACTTACCTATCTGCGCCTTCGCATTTGCCTTCATCTCCTACCTCCTACACATCCCCGACCAAAAGACGACCCATCAGTCCACCAGACAGAAGATGGCCCAGCTTGACGGCGTGGGTCTCGTAACCCTCCTAGACGGCATCATCTGCCTCCTTCTCGCTCTCCGGTGGGGAGGCACGGAGTACGCCTAGAACAACGGTCGAATAATTGCGCTCC